ACGATGTTCTCATCCTTGATAGAGAGGAAAGTTTGTTTGAGAGAGGAGTAAAGGAAGCCATCTTTGTGAAGAAAAAACATTCGTTATTAAAGTGGGGGGCGGTGAGACCTCCGTGTCCAGTTGTCCTCCTCTGTTTTGACGAGTATGACAGCCCTCTGTGAACAATAAAGATAATCAGGGCACCAACGATCAGTCGTTGGGCTGAGGGTCCTCTTTTGCATGTGCACAGTGTTGATTGTCATCGTTAACTTGTTTGTCCACCATGTGGAGGAAGCGGTGCTTATTAAGGTTGAGTTTACCTGAAACTCCTTAGACTGAAGAAGTCTATTAGAGGAGAGACAAAACGTTTTATTAAAGAAGAGCCCGTCCAGAGGACCTACTTAACCTTTTTATTAGATTTTTTTTTCTATTACGGAAATTTATAAGGGTACTCGAGGAATTGTGTATCTTCTCTGGCCTGGGTACACCTCTGGGGTCTCCCCAGGAGGAGCTGGAGATTGTCACTGGGGGAGAGGGAGGTCTGGGTTAGACATTATGTGTCTGCGACCCGACTACAGTGTCTTTCAAAAACTCAGGACGAGAATTTTTGAGTCAAAATATCCATTTGGCCACTTTAAGAGGAATGGCTTTTTGTTTCTGTTTAAAATTTGCCAACAAAATAATAAATATTCATGTAAAACTGAATTGTGAAGTTTTGTAAAACTAAAAACCCTTGAAAAGTAACTTTCTTTTTTTTATTTCAGTTTGACATAAATCTATAAGATTGACTACTTTATAGTAGACACAAATATTAACAAATGTTGTTTTCAGCTGTTATGTTAAGTAGTCTTTTTTCAGTTATTTTCAAAAAGCTTAAGGACAATTTGAAGCTTTTTAAAGTCTTTTTTTTATTTTGGTTTTCTTCATGTTTGTCTACATTCTTGTCCGACTCAACAAACCTGACAAGCAGCTATGAATGTTTCTTTAAGGAAGGCCAGACCTGTAGTCTGTTTACAGTTTACTTTAGATTTTACAGTGACATGGAGACATACATGAAGGCAGCGGGCTTTGACGTGTGTTCTGGCAAATCCTTGTCTAAAACTGGTGTAGTAAAAGAATAATAATAATAATAATAATAAGCCCATAACTCCCTGAGGTGTGACTGTTGGAGGATAGTTGGTGAAGACGGTGGAGTTTCCAAAATGTCTTGGAACATTTTCTGGGGTTCTCAGCTTTGTTGCAGTTACATAAACGTCACACATTGCTCGATTTATTTTATTTTATTTTATTTTTTGTTACCTGTTCAAAACAATCTGTGCAGCAGATTTCCTGCCAAAAGAGTTGTCATTACAGACGTCTTGAACTTGTCTCAAACCTGTCTCCATTTAGTTTTTGTAATTCAAGAGCACCGGAGCTGTATTTGATGGACAGCAGAGAAGACAAGCTAATGTTTAGGTCTAAAAATGACAAGTGATAATGGGTTTCAAACTGGTGCAGCTCTTCCTTTCTTCATTTTTAAAGTGTACAGCAGCAGATTAAGTCATAAATGCGGGGGCTGCTATAAAGGTGGGTACAAACTGGGCCGTTGTGGGCGGAAGTGGGCAACATGATGACGCGCTGACACAGACAGATGAGAGGCTGCAGCTGAGGGGCTCTCTCACAAATGAACTGATATAACATATTTATTTAGTTCACTAAATGCTGCTCATCTTCTACCATGCTTACTTGTGGTGAATTTTTAACCTTTTGTAAGAGACTAACGTTGATTTTTTCAAAGTAGGATTGGGCAATATTGGCAAAAATGTTTTATCACAATTGATTGTGCCATTTAGCCAATAATAATTAAATTAAGATAAATCAGTAACAATTGCACTTGAATGTTTTTGACTCTAAATCAGTTACCATATAGGACAGGGCTATTCAACTGGCGATCTGGCCCGGCCGCGAATGATCAAAGTTCGGCCCACCAATTGGTTCATTCATCTCTTAAGCCCAAACCCCCAGTTTTCTACTTTAATTACTCTATAAGTTCTTTTAGTTAAACATAGACGTGTGGTATCTGCAGAAACATCAGAAACCATTTCTATGCACACTCGAGACAGTTAAAATTACAAACAGTTGAAGATAAAACTATGAAAGTGAAAATAAAATTGGTTTAAATATTTGGCAAGTCAGCGATATCAAAATATTATTTGTGGTAAATAAGAAGCAAAATGTGTTCTTTTTGTTTTTGATATTGTTTTATTATCACCACTTTTATTACATAGGGTTATGTATGTTGTATTCATGATAAAATGCAGCAAAATAAATTATTTCAAAGGTAACAGATCTTTGTAATACTTCGTTTATTTACATAATAACTTTAATTGCTGGATGCTCGGTCCCTGTGCTGTTGGCCCGCAGTAACAGAGCAATTAATTGAATAGCCCTGATATAGGGGTAACTTATGGTGGTTCGATTCCAATGGCTATTCAGTCACACTGAGTAAATGGGTAAATGAGGACAGAGCTTTGAGTATCCTGGTTGGATAGAAAGGTGCTATATAAGTACAGTCCATACAGTGGTTTGCAAAAGTATTCATACCCCTTGAACTTTTCCATATTTTGTCACATTACAACCACAAACATAAATATATTTCACTGGAATT